TACCATTTATGAAAGATTAATAAATTTTGAGATGTGTAAAATGTGTAATTTAAATTTGTGTAGTATCCAAATTTTTGCAAGTAAAAAGACACATGTGAAATAAAGCTTAATAATATATTTAACCTAGTATAGCCAAAATATTATCATTTTAATGTGTAAGCAGTATAAACAGTTAATGAAATGTTTTACTTTTTTTCATAATAAGTCTTCAGAATCTGGTGTGCATTTTATACTTCCAGCACATCTCAGTTGAGACTAGTCACATTCTTAGTGTTCAGGAGCAATGTTCAGCCATGTCCTATAAAATTTCTTCTTTTATAATTAAACTAATCTATCATTGATCAGATTCATTTAAGAATATTTATTTGGTTTGGACATAAGCTAATAAATTGCTAAAGCTGAGATTCAGATCAAAGTCTGCTTCACAAGCTTATATCCTCTCCATTCCCTCTCAGTCCCAGAAATTTTTATTATGCCAAGGTTGGAGATAAAATGTTGAGATTAATTAAGCAAGCAGTACCTTCACTATTGAGTACTAGTAGCCGTGTAGTGTAATTACTCGCTATTGTGAGATGGGTAGTTTAATTATTTTTTCTGTTTCTTTTTCTGGACCCCTAGACTTTTGATCAGTCCCATGGCCCATCTCTTTCCCCTGACTTTGCTGGTAGTTTATTTACATTGAAGACAGCCAAAAAGTAACATTGGGGTAATACAAACATTTTGACTGTAAAATTGAAAAACCTGAGACTCTCAAGAAAAAAATTTGACAATGACCGGGGAGGAAAGTCTCCTCTTCAGCTGTATATTTTATCTAATACCGAAGGTAAAATCTGTCTTCTTAAAAGAAAAGATCACAAACAGGTGTGCTGTGTGCAGGCCAAAGGTATGTTTTTCCTTTTTTTTGGCAAAGGAGTAAACACTTAACAATTGGGAGATCTCATAGTGTATTATGGATTTCCCTCGGAAATATGAGAAGATCCAATAACACTTGCCCACATCCTTCATGGAGCTGACTAGCTCCTGCCTCCTGAGATGGGCTATCGGCACTGCCAATGTCCCTACCCCCAGTCGTCCTGTACTCTCCCACTTCTCTCATTTGCATTTCCTGCAGGTGAATTTGTAACTCCTATTTTAAAGTGTACATAATAGAATCAGTAGAATTCTAGTTTATTTGCCTACATTTGCTGTTCTCTGGGTAGTTTAAGGCTTATGAAGAGATATTGTGTACTAAATCACATAAGCAATTGCAAGATGGTTTTTAGAATGGTAACACATCTTTACAAAAGCAAAGGGATAAATATTTGTCAAGGAATATTATGCTTTACGGTGTGATGTCTTATTTAATCAATCATAATTCTAATTGGTAAGGAGTAATATCATTTTATGTGGAAGGAAAAAGGCCAGAGTCTCACATCTAATAAAGTGTGAAACTGGGATTCAAATTCTGGTCAGTCTTTTCCAAAACTCAAGTTTTTTCCCACTATATTGCATTGCCAGGAATTGTTTGAAGTGCTTAGGTTATATACTTGATCTCCAACATATAATACCAGTTTACAAGCAGGGAAGAAGGCATTTGCATCCTAACATGCACTGCTGTTTTTATATCATATTGGAATAGCTAGAAGCATTAGATTGTTCCTTTACTTTCCTACTTAGTTGGTTATGCTGCTTGACAGTTGATAAAAGTAATCATTGTGATTTTCTGAGCTGTCTCTTTCAGCAAAGGAGAACATTTTTTTTCTTTGAAACTGTCACCAGTCCTTCCCCTTTGCTAGACATACATTCTCTTCTAAGTAGCAACAGAAGCATCCATGAAATGTCTTGTTTTTCATTCAGAAAGCATTTATGATATACACCTCTGACCCAAGATTTTGGAAGATATTTTAAATACAAGATGCCTGCCTTCAGAAATTTTACAATCTTAAAAAAAAAAAAAAAACTAGAGAGAAAATTATTTTAAAAATAGATACCTATAAGAATAAACTGTACAAAGAAAAAGGACAAGGAAATACAGATAAGGATGATTTTAGAAGGGGGATATTTACAGCTGATAATCATTTAGTTATCTAAGTTCAAGTATGCTAAAAATCATCAGGAAGCAGAGCCCACTCTTAGATTCAGAAGTAATAAAGACATATATCATGTGGTGTTAAAATTATAGTGTGGGAGGTCTTAGGCTGGTCTTAGATCAAACATTGAGGCCGAGCACACTATGAGTAATAATAATAAAAATAACTTGAACTTCTCACCCATAACAAGCACGACTTTTTAATTTGATTCTAAAGAAATACTTGCAGACATTTAGCAAGTAGTTTATCTTTCTTTTCTTTTTATGTGGCATCACATAAACTACTGGATTATTTCATTTTCTTCTCCTTGGGTAGTTTAGGTCATTATTAGCTGTCTTGAGGTGTTGGCCTCTGGTTGAGGATCACATTTTCAGTCTGATTCGGATGCTATTTTCATATCATGCCAGACAAGTTGGCAAGTGCTGGAAATTTCCTCTGCTTTTTTACTCAGGCCCTTTCCTTCTCCTTCCCTTTTAGTTTCTTTTGTTACCATTTTACAGTCACCATTGACATTTATGAAACATGTCTATTTGTAGCACACTGGGATGCTGGGGGCAGGGATGAATGGGGTTTGTTTGCAGTGTTTTTGTTTTTGAAGGAAGCTGCTTTTAGATATTGTTTCCTTTTGTAAAGGCTATGTAATGTTGATTTGTCTCTAGACCTTTTTTTCACATTTTAATTTTGGACTGTTGAAGCTCTTGTAAACTACTGGTTTATGTAAATAAAAGATGTTTTAGAGCCTATGTTGCTAATAACACTTTCTTAGCACTGTCTTAAAAAATTTTATTGTATTATAATTTGAAATTAACTGTTTTAACTCAAGGCTGATTGCAGGCACAATATTAAAGTGAGAAAAGGTGGTCAGATACCTCTTAACCTCCCAGCTCTCCTCACATGCCAGTGGCATAGCTCTTAGTCCCCTTTCCCATCCTAACTTATGAAGGTGTTATCTTCTCTCCTTGTGGTACGAGGGGGAGACCCCAAAAACCCAGAATTTATTTATTAACAATTGTATATTTATTTGTACATGTTTAAACTTCAGTCAAAGTACTCTCCATTGGATTCAATACACCTGTGGAGTGTATTTTCCACTGTTCAGAACAGTTTTTGAACTAATCAATTTTGATGCCTTTTAGTTCTTCTGTTTTTTGTTTCACCTCTTCCACATCGGCAAAATGTTTCCCTTCGAGGACTTTTTTCATCCAGGGAAACTAACAAAAAAAGTCGCTCAGGATGCTGGGGCATGAGAGTCTTAGCATTTTTGGTCAAAAATTGCTGAACACTCAGTGCAGTGTGAGCTGGTGTGCTTATAAATCACCCATCATGAAATGGGCAAATGCTTTGAAAGAATCTCCCAAAAAACATTCACTGAAGCCGAACACAGCCCCCCACAGCAACGCTAGGTGGTATACCGATGCCGATGAGTTCCTGGAACACTTACTTATTGGGGGAAGCCTGTACTAAAAGGGGCCCACCCGCTAAAAGATATTTCTGGGTTTTGTTGGGTCCCCCTTATATACTGCATTTTCGTTATCCCTCCATCTGTCAGTGAATATTAGCTCATTCTCATTCCTTAGCTGTTGTGAAGGGTGTTGCTGTAAACATGAGAATACTAGTATCTCTACAAGATCCTGATTTTAGTTCTTTTGGAAAATACTCAATAATGGAATTGCTGGATCATATACTAGTTCTATTTTTAATTTTTAATTTTTTGAAGACTCGTCATCCTGTTTCCATGGCAATTGTACCATTTTGCATTCCCACTAGCAGTGTGCAAGTATTCCAGTTTCTCCATATCCTCATCAATGCGTGTCTGTGTTTTTGATACTAGCCATCCTAATGGGTATGAGGTAATATCTCATTGTGGTTTTGATTTGCATTTTCCTGATGATTAGTGATGTTGGACAATTTTTCATAACATGTTGGCCATTTTTATGTCTCTGGAGAAATGTTTGAAGTGCTTAGCCCATTTAAAAAAAAACTTTATTAGTTTTTTTTTAACTGTTGAATTTCTCATATGTTTTAGAGATAAACTTCTTGTTAGATATAGGGCTTACATATTCTCTCCTATTCTGTAGGCTTTTTCATTCTGTTTATTATTTCCTTTGCTGTGCAGAAGCTTTTTACTTTGTGGGGTCCTGTTTTTTAAGTGCTAATAAATATCAGTAGATTGATTAAATAGTATGGTTGACATGGTTGTTGTGTATCTGAATAATTTCTCTTTTCTTTTTACTTGTTAGGAAAACCTCCATCATAAAATTATTTTCTTTTGTGTTTTCTATCTCAATCTTCCTGACCTTCTTGTGGATATGTATCAACTTACATAAATTATATTTAATCCTGAAAATTGTTATTCTCAATTAAGGAAATGGCAGTGTTTGTTTTAATGATGTTTTGGACTAGGTCTTTTGATTCCTATACCACTTTATTTTCTATATGCTGTGTAATGTAGTTGACCCTCCATATCCATGGATTTTACATCCATGAATACAACCAACCACAGATCAAAAATATTTGGAAAAAAAATTGTGTCAGTACTAAACACGTGCAGATTTTTTATTTTCTAGTCATTATCACATAAAGTACATATAACTTATTTGCATAGCATTTATATTGTATGAAGTATAAGTAATCTAGAGATTTGAAATATACAGGAGGACATACATAGGTTATGTGCAAATACTGTGCCATTTTATAGCAGGGAATTGAGCATCTGCAGATTTTCGTATCTGAGAAAGGTGTATGAAACCAATCCCTCATGGATACCAAGGGACAACTAACTGTATAACAAGAGCAATCGTATATATTGAGAATAAAACATTGAAGTAGCTACTTTTGTCTTGTTTTTATTGTATCATATGAATTACTCACTTTTCTATGATTAATTACAGAAAATATATGTGACTTAATTTTTGTCTTGTGTTTCAACAGAAGGAGAATATATTAAAATGTTTATGCGAGGTCGTCCAATTACAATGTTTATTCCTTCTGATGTTGACAACTATGATGATATCAGAACAGAACTGCCTTCTGAGAAGCTCAAACTGGAGTGGACGTATCCTTCTCTATCATGACAGTTAATTTGTTACTTTGTCTCTGGCTTAAGAAAAATTAATTTACATAATCTCTATCAAAATTGTCTTTATATGAAAAAAGTAAATATAAGAAAACAAGCACTTGAAAAATTAAAAAGACATTCATCTCTAACCCTTTCACATATATGTTTTACTATTAGCAATTTAAAGCCATAAAATTAATGTCTTTGGAAAGGGCAAGCAATATTGTATGAACTCTGCGGCAGGTACTTGTGGTATGGTAGAAAAGGCACTGGGCTAGAATTGGAAGATTGTTATTTTGGCTCTGCCACTTACTCCCTATGAGCCTTAACTTTCTTCACTTTATTAAAAGGGTTAATAACCCAAACCTCGCAGTGCTGTTGTAAAAATTAGGCAGAACATCGGTTAAACACTTTGTAACCCATGAAACTATGTGTGGTGTGAATTATTGGAGCTCAGATTAACAAGGCTGATTCTAATCCCAAAGCCAAACTTTTTAAAAATAACTGTTTAAACCAGAACTCTCATAATTCACCTAGAAAGTCTCTAACAAATTCAGTGAAGCAGAAAGGAGCTAGTAGTTTTCTACTACACCTCCTCCCACATCCCTTAGATTATTCCCTCCATTAGGCAGAAACCAGCTTGGAAAAACTCACCAATCCTATAATTCTGTACAACTCGTTTGTAACAAGCATTCTGCCTACCAAGTTGTGACTGAATATCCCTTATTTATCATGTAAGTCCAGCACAAATATAACTTTCTCAGGTAGGCCTTTTTTACCTCTCTCCATCTAACTTAGGTATTATTTATGCTTGCTTGCTTTTTTTTTTTGGTATCTGGAGTCTAACTCTGGTGCCCAGAGTGGAATACAGTGGCATGATAACAGCTACCACAGCCTTGACCTGCTGGGCTCAGGTGATCCTTCCACCTCAGCCTTTCAAGTAACTGGGACTACAGGTGCATACCACCTGCCCACCTTTTTTTATTTTGTAGAGATGAGGTCTCACCAAGTTACCCAGGCAGGTCTTGGACTTCTGGGCTCAGGCAATCCTCTCATCTTGGCCTCCCAAAGTGCTGGTATTACAGGCATGAGCCATTGCGTCTGGCCCTATTTATGCTTTCTCCTAGCATCCTGTCATTTTTCTTTCCACAGTTTGTAATTATGTATTTGGTGATGATTTCTGTCTTCTTTGCCAGAGCATAAGCTCTGGAAACATAGGCCCCACATTTTCTTTGTTAGAACTGTTCAGCACTGTGCCTGAAGTATATTAGGAACTCAATATATGTTTGATGAATAAGGAAACTAAGATATAAACATATTAAAGGACTCAGGGTCGCACAAGGGATAATGGCAGGATATGAGTTTCCTAGTTCTAGTCCAGTCTTTTCGGTATATGTTCCTGAAAAAATTGTTAGTTTAACACCTTGAAATTATTTATTTTTTAAAAACCTTGACTCTTTCTTTTAAGATATGGTTATCGAGGAAAGGACTGTAGAGCTAATGTTTACCTTCTTCCTACGGGGGAAATTGTTTATTTCATTGCATCAGTAGTAGTACTGTTTAATTATGAAGAGAGAACTCAGCGACACTACCTGGGTCATACAGACTGTGTGAAATGGTTGGTATCATTTAATTTTGGTTTGTTTTTTTATATCCTCATTTCATATTTTTTAAGTTTGAGTTTTACTGAAAATGATTTCTTATCGAAAGCTGAGAATGTAAGGCTATCATAGGCATTTTGTAGAATATATTTTAAAAAGGAAAAAAAGGACTTAAGTCTGCCAAAATGGTTGGTGTGGTATCAGCAGCAATAAAATACACCCACCATAAATCTTGATTGGAACCCCTTATGCTTTCTCAGATCCCTGTAGCCATTTTTTTCTTGGGTCTGTGTTGGAAATATATGTGAGGCGGACTGCCTTGGAAATATGTGTTCAGGTTTCTGAGAATGATTATTGGTTACTTAATATTAGTGAAGATTTGTCCTATGTAGATAAATTTTGGACTTGGGGCTTAATGGTTGATTAAGGATCATAAATATGCCAGAGGGTATCAGACTGAAAATGTGAGAACTCCTTTTAAATGCTAAGGCATATTGTAAAATTACTAAATGACTTTTGCTACCTTTTAGTTAAATTCAAACATTTATTGCTTAGGTTAATTATTTTTAACATTTAAAAGACTTTTTTATGTCGCTACTATTCTGGCAACTATATCTTTATCTAGAAAAAAGATTGCTCTAATATATGACTATTAGAATATTTGTAAATATTGTTGATCTTTTTTTTTTTTTTTTTTTGAGTTGGAATCTCACTCCGTCGCCCAACCTGGAGTGCCCTGGCATACTCACGGCCACCCCAGTGTCGACCTGCTGGGCTTCAGCGATCCTTCTGCCTCAGCCTTTCAAGTAGCTGGAACTATAGGCGTGCGCCCGGCTGATTTTTTATTTATTGTAGAGACAACAATATAGGCTGAGCCACTTAGCCCGGCCTTTTAGAGATGATTAAAATATTATCTTTTATACTTACAGAAAAATATATGTGCAGAATGATTTATTGCAGCATTATTTATGATAGATAGTAAAGATTAGATTGGTCTGAGTATTTTATAGTTGAGGACTAGTGAGGTCGTAGTATGCCTGAAGGTCACCATGTAGCTGTAAAGGAAGAATGAGAAAGCACTTTAGGTATTAATATGGAAAGATGCCTAAGATGTACTCCTAAGTACAAATATTTAAGAGCAAGAGAATATTCACAGTGTTCTACCATTTGTATAAAAAAAACAAGGTGGAAAGTAGACGCTTATCTTGGCTTTCATGTATATAAAAATTTCCTAGAATTATTAATAAAAAGAAACTAGACTGGGCATGGTGGCTCATGCCTATAATCCCAGCATTTTGGGAGGTTAAGGTGAGAGAATTGCCTGAGCCCCTGGGTTCGAGACCAACCTGGGCAACTTGGCTAGACCTCATCTTTACAATAAATCAAAAAATCAGCCAGGTGTGGTGATGCGTGCCTGTAGCTCCAGCTACTTGGAAGACTGAGGCAGAAGAATTGCCTGAGCCCAGCAAGTTGAGGCTGCAGTGGCTGTGATTGTGCCACATAGCCTGGGCAACAGAGTGAGACTCCGACTCAAAACTAAAATAAAATAAAACAAAAAAGAAACGAATCGCAAAGATTACCTGGCAGAGGTGACATAGGGGTTGGGGATCGGGGTGAGATTGACAAGACCTTAGGAGATGGGGCAGGTAGGAAAGACACTTTTCTTAGAATATCTTTTATAGCTTTTGATATTTGTACCCTGTGAATATACTAGTCTAATTCAGAAATTTTAATTTAAAGAAATTGTTTAAAAAGAGAGATCTGAAATGGCAAAATGTTAATATATTAGATTTTTAGTTACCTTTAGTGTAGTTGACCTTCATGCAGAACATAAAACTTAGTAAGGAGAAATGAAATTAAAGAAACATATTGATATACTCTAGCCTCCTTAGTAGTCAAAGAAATTAAAACAAGGTATCATTTGTATCAATTGTTGAAGCATTTTAAAAGTTGTAATTTTTTTTGTTTTTCCTTCTTCTTTAAGTTAGAATCTTGCTCTGTTGCCTAGGCTGGAATGCAGTGGAATAATCACTGCTCTCCATAGCCTCTAACACCTGGGCTCAAGCAATCTTCATGCCTCAGCCTCTCGAGTAGCTGGGACTTCAGGTGCACACCACTACACCCAAATAATTTTTTTGTAGAGATGAGGTCTCGATATGTTGCCCAGGCTGATCTCAAACTCCTGGGCTCAAGTGATCCTCCCACCTCTGGCTCCCAAAGTGCTGAAATTACAGGCAAGCGGTACTGTGCCAGGCATTAAGGGGTATGATAATTTTTTTTTGGATCAGTGTCTGTTGCCCAGGCTGAAGTGCCATGGCACACACATAGCCACTGCAGCCTCTACCTGCTGGGCTCAGGCGATCCTTCCACTTCAGCCTTCCAACTAGCTGGAACCACAGGTGTGTGCCACCACTCCCAGCTAATTGTTTGATTTATTGCAGAGACGAGGTCTTGCCAGTTGCCCAGGCTGGTCTCGAACCCCTGGACTCAGGTAATCCTCTCACCTCTGCCTCCCAAAGTGCTGGGATTACAGGTATGAGCCACTTTACCCAGCATAAAAGGTATAATTTTTAATATGAGGAAGTTGAAGTGAACGTTTTAGAGCATTTTAATTATGACAATTTTAATTTGTCCTTCTCTTTGGGAAAATAATAATCAATACATACCAAGAAACAAAAAATTTTATATTCTCATTTAAGCTTACCCCTTGGTTGCAGTATTTATAAAGATTCTAAATATCAGATGAAGATGTCTTTTTTTTTAATTTGCTGGACAATATATATATATATTTTTAATTGGAGTCTCCATCGCCCAGACTGGAGTGCAATGGCACGCTCATGGCCACCCCAGTGTCAACCTGCTGAGTGGGCACTGGCGATGCTTCTGCCTCAGCTTTCCAAGTAGCTGGAACTACAAGCATGCACTACCACGCCCGGCTATAGAGACAAGGTCTCGCCAGGTTACCCGGGTTGAACTCGAACATGCAGACTCAGGCAATCTACTCACCTTGGCCTCCCAAAGTGCTGGGATTACAGGCTGAGCCACCGAGCCCAGCTGACAATTTTTTATATGTACCATGAGCAATTTGGGCACATATGCTACACTACTTTCTATTTTTATTTAAAAATTTCTTGCCCCAAGAGTGACTTAAAGAATTTAGATAATTTTGAATTGAAAAACTAAATGCTGGCTGTTGCTAGCATTAGCTATTGTTAATGAGGCTAGCATTTAGCCTAAGTACTAATGTACTTTGGTTTAGTTAGGATCCAAGATAAAAGCTAATTAAAAGGTTAAAGACACTATGTGTGACGGTGTTTACTGCTGTTTTCTTTTGTAGAAAAGTAGAAATGGCCTAAAAGATGGAAGAGCTGTTAAGTCAGTAGTATGTATAAGGAACATGTAGCAAAATGAAAAGATGCTTATATTTTAATGGATTAAAATTAATGTATTACAATATTGCATCTTCATTATAATAAAACCATGTGAATATATATGCCTGTGTGTATGAACTAGAAAGGTACTTGAGCAAATGAAAACAATTTAACAGATGTGGATAAATATTTTCTTTGAATTTAGGATTCCATTAATTTGTACAGCTTAACAAAAAAGTATAGCTGAAAACTTAGAAATCTTCAGCTAATTGTTGTTTGTTAGGTTTGCTAAAGAAAACAAATAAGCTGAGCTCAGTGGCTCAGCCTGTAATCCCGGCGCTTTAGGAGGCTGAGGTGAGTGGACTGCCTGAGCCAGTGGGTTCGAGACCTGCCCGGGCAACTTGGCGAGACCTCATCTCTACAACAAGTCAAAAATTAGCCGGGCGTGGTAGCGTGCGCCTGTAGTTCCAGCTACTTGGAAGGCTGAGGCGGAAGGATCGCCGGTGCCCAGCAGGTTGAGGCTGCGGTGGCCGGGAGCAGCCACTGCATTCCACTCCGAGTGACAGAGTGAGACTGCAACTCAAAAAAAAAAAAAAAAACTCACTGTCTCGCCAAGTTGCCCAGGCAGGTCTCGAACCCGCGGGCTCAGGCAGTCCACTCACCTCAGCCTCCTAAAGCGCCAGGATTACAAGCTGAGCTACCGAGCTCGGCTCAAAGTGAGTTATTTTAATGATTAAAAATCATTTGTAGCCGGGCTCGGTGGCTCAGTCTGTAATCCCGCGCCTTTGGGAGGCTGAGGTGAGTGAATTGCCTGAGCCCGCGGGTTTGAGACCCACCTGGGCCGCGAGACCTCATCTCTATAATAAATCAAAAAATCAGCCAGGTGTGGTAGCGCATGCCTGTAATTCCGGCTACTCGGAAGGCTGAGGCGGAAGGATCACCGGAGCCCAGCAGATCGAGGCTGCGGTGGCTGGGAGCTGCCACTGCACTCCAGTCTGGGCGACAGAGTGAGACTCCAACTCAAAAAAAAAAAAATCATTTGTTTGAAAAGTGTTGATGCAAAGGTAAATTTCTGCTGTTGCATGTTTCCTGTATTTAAAACTATTGTTAATACTGCTTTTTAGTCTTGCTGTACATCCTGACAAAATTAGGATTGCAACTGGACAGATAGCTGGCGTGGATAAAGATGGAAGGGTAAGTGCCACTGTGTCATGTATTCTGTAGAATTAGTTGTAATTTTAATTACAACTCATTTATTTTATTCTTTTAATTTAATCACTAAAGATTTTCTAGTATAAGCAAGGAGAAAGCATATTAGAATGTAAGACCACTTCAAAACACAAAAGAGAATCATACTACTTAAATATATTTTTCTAAAAAATGTTATCTTCCTAAGAAAAGTAATTACTTGTCAAACTGGACTAATATTTTCATTCCATTTTTCTTTACATAGAATAACTTATTAATGTCTGTCAAAAGGTACTGCAATTTTCCTTAGTTGATGAACCTCTTGATTTTATTTTATGTATGTCTTTTCAGAGATAGGGTCTTGCTATGTTGCCTCGGCTGTCTCAAACTCCTGGGTTCAAGTGATCCTTCCACCTCAGCTTCTTGAGTAGCTGGGCTAGAGCTGCATACCACAATGCCCAGCTAACCTCTTGATTTTATATGACTAGAACTGATATCACTTAAAGAGTTTCATTTACTGTTTGATATTATTCCATTAATTTACATAACAGATCTTTTATTTCTAAGGATCAGTGGTGAATATTAATGATAACTGATTAGCATACGCATAACCGTACTCATGATATTCTCTGACTTTACTTTCTTTAAAGACAAGGAATGGAGAGATTCTACTAGATGACTTTTTTTTTTGAGTCGAATTCTCACTCTGTTGCCCAGGCTAGACTGCAGCAGTACATTCAAGGCTACCTCAGCCTCAACCTGCTGGGCTCAGGCAATCCTTCCATCTCAGCCTCCCAAGTAGCTAGAACTATAGGCATGTGCCACCATACCTGGCTAATTTTTTAATTTTATTGTAGAGACAAGGTCTCACCAAGTTGCCCAGGTTGGTTTCAAACTCCTGGGCTCAGGCAATCTTTTCACCTTGGTCTTCCAAAGTGCTAGAATAACAGGCATGAGCCACTGCACCTGACCTGTCTATTAGATGACTTCTAAGACCCTTTCCAGTTTCAAATTCTGCTTACATACGGTTTATTTAGCAGTTTATTAGACACTGACTTTTTAAAAATGTGTTATTTTTTTTCAGGAGCGAAGATAATGCAAAAAAGCAAAGTATTGCCTGAGTTAGAATTCTAACTCTTTTTTTTTTTTTTTTTTTTGAGTCAGAGTCTCACTCTGTCGCCCAGGCTGGAGTGCAGTGGCACACTCACGGTCACCACAGCCTCAATCTGCTGGGCTCAGATGATCCTTCTACTTCAACCTTCCAAATAGCTGGAACTACAGGTGCACGCCACCACACCCAGCTAGTTTTTTAAATTAATTGTAGAGACAAGGTCTCACCAAGTTGCCCAGGCTGGTCTCGAACTCTTGGACTCAAGCAGTTCTCTGGCCTCAGCCTCCCAAATTGCTGGGACTACAAGCTTGAGCTAGCTCTATCTTTTAAGAGCTGTGTAACTTTGGGCAAGTTACTTAAATCTCTGTATCTCAGTTTTCTCATTTGTTAAGTGATAATTATAATAGTATCTATCAGGATTATGAGGATTAAATGAATTAATGTGTGACATACTTAGAATAGTATTTGGCACATACTCAGATTATGCTGCTACTATTTTTATCGTTGTTTCCTTATTTTCATAGCCTGAGAAGAAAATACCTACTCAGAATTTAATAGGGCATAACTTTATTTGATGTTTATCCATGCCTATTACTCTTTTAAAATAGCAGGTAGTTCTGTGTGCTAGTGGCATTTATTTGCATCCACCTAATACCAATCAGTTCTGCTCTTTTGTGTTTTGTAGCCTCTGCAACCCCATGTCAGAGTGTGGGATTCAGTCAGTCTATCCACACTGCAAATTATTGGACTTGGAACATTTGAACGTGGAGTAGGATGCTTGGATTTTTCAAAAGCAGTAAGTAACAACTTTTAGAAAAGTAAGCAAGCTGAACAAAAAAGCAGAAAAACGATAAACTCAGTTTTATGTTTGTGTCTGTAGAAAGTGATAATTCTGAGGTGAAAAATTAAATGCTGGCTGTTGCTGACATTAGCTGTTGTTAATGAAGCTAGCATTCTATCTTAAGTACTAACATACTTAGGTTTAATTAGGATCCAAGATATTATACTTAATATTTTGTTTTGTCCTGAGATACTGAAATTCCAATATAGTAGCAGAAAATGGTTAGAGGAATGTATACATAGCATAGTCCAATTTGAAACAAGTAATAGGATGTGCTTTCATTCCAACTTGAATCATAGAAGAGATCTATTTTATTTAGAAAAGTCGCAGAGATGAAATTTGGCCATTTCTGCACAAATGTAGGCTTTTCTTAGTGTCATATTGAAACAAAAGAAACAATCAAGCCTTTGTATTCCCTGGAATGATGAATTATCCTGGTTCTGAATTGAAAACAACATGGGTTCAATATTTTGTGTCAAGCAGTCTTATCTAAACATTGAGGTTTTATTCTGAGGAGAAAGTGAGACATGATGTTACTCATTTAAACATTCTTTTTATTCTTGAATTACATGTAATTATAAAGTATGAAGGCAACCTGTATTTTAGGATCTATACTTTTAAATTTCAAAGATAAATACTCCTCTAGATTTTATGGGGCCTTGTTTATGCCTTAGAATTTGTGTATTTATATAATCTCTTCAGTTCTTAGCTATATCTGCAGCTATATTCTGGATTATAGGAGGTTTGTGGCATGTAGAAGAAAGGACAGTTTTAGAGCAAGAAGATATATTTGGATGAATTTAGGGGCTTTGCTAACTTGAAGGCACTAAATGTAAAGGACCCAACAAGTCAGGAATTGGAAGAAAGGTGTTTAAAAACAGAGATAAGAGGACAGAAAGGAAATACTTTTACTACCCCCCCCATAAATCTCTATAGTAGGAACTATTGTCAGGGTGTTGATACTATTGCTACAGTGTGAAACTGTCTTGAACTACCTCATAATCTGAGCTTTCCTACTTCAGATAATCATTCCAGTGCAAGCTCAGGAAAAGATAAAGAGAACGGGCAAGTTCTGCCCTTACTTCGTACCTCTTCCTCTTTCACTACAAGGATTCTCTATTCCATAGACATTGAGAGGCTTCTACCACAAATGCTACTAGAAAAAAATTGTGTAATATCATTTATGGCTCTTTTTCTTAAACTGGAAGACTTAAATTATGTGAATAAAAATGATTTCAGAAGAATGAAAGGGAACTTTGTTATATTTTTACTTGTTAATTCATGTTAATATTAAAATCAGATCTATCACAGAAAATCGAAATCCACAAACTTTAAAATAGCCATTAACTTTAAATTATTCCATCAAACCATCAAAATTTAGTAAAGAACCAAGTTAGGAAATTACACACATTTCTTCCCTTCTATATCAAGGGAAAATACCTTAATACAGCCACAAGAAGGAACCATAAGATGCAGAAGGAATTAGGAGACCATCAAAGTTAATTGCTATCTGGATAATAGAAGTCACTGGATGGCAAGTAGAAATCAACCTAGGAGAAAAAATTTAAATAGGAAATATTTTTTTAAAGAGTCTTTATATTGCTGAGGAAAATACAATTTTAGTAATAAATAGTACATTCATTATGTTTCAAAGAGTGACGAGTTGTTTAAAGGATTTTAGAATTATCTTACGGTTGGCTGTTTTAATAATACAATATTTCTTAGAAAGCCATATTCAGAAATTTTTAAATGCCTTTAATGGACTTTTCTTTAGGATTCAGGTGTTCATTTATGTGTTATTGATGACTCCAATGAACATATGCTTACTGTATGGGACTGGCAGAAAAAATCAAAAGGAGCAGAAATAAAGGTAAATAAAAAAATTTTTAATTGAGTATTACCTTTTAAAGTACATTATTTGTTTCATAGTATTTGGAACTATATTGCATATTCTTAAGTTGCAATAGCAAACCCACTGACCCAATTCATCAGATTTATTGTTTATCATAATTCTTATGGTATTGACACAATAGTTATACAAGATAAAATAGACAACTTGAAGCAATTCCAGTATTTCAGATGTCATGCTACTGAAATGACAAAGTAGATGAGTATCTACTCAAAATTAAGACTACTTCTTTAATAAAAGATGTAATTTCACTCAATCTTTAAAGGTATATAAATCTAGAGGAAAAATTCAACTATAAAAATATGGCTGATATAACGGAAGGGCTTATATGATGATAAGTTTTTTAGTTTTAATTATATTTGTAGGATTATTATAGCAAATGCTATAGCATTTATAATTGCTGTAGAATTGGGTTGGTCCCTTTGTGTGAATCAGGCTGTAAGTTGCAAGAGAAGAATGTAGTTAGCATTGAAGCTGCATTTCATATGGGTCAGAAATGACCTTCTCCTGACATGCTTGCAAAGAGATTCAAGTGACAGAATGGCTTTTAAAAGCTTATGACTTTTTTGCTATACTTTTTAAATTTTTATTTTAGAGTTATGCAGTATAAGTGAGCGTTTGCTATATAAGTAGGCTGCGTGCAGGTGAAATTTGGGCCTCTAGCTGGCCCTCTTCCCCTGGTAGTAGACGAGGTGCCCTTTGTATACCCTCTCTTACCCGCTCCCACCCCCTCCCCAGCAATACCCCAAGATTGTCAATCCCACCCTTGTACTAGTGTGACTAGTGTTCAGGGCCCATTTGTGAGAACATGCAGTATTCAGTTTTTTCTGTTATAGTTCACTTAATATGATGGTCTACAGTTGCATCCAAGTTGCTGTGAAAGTCATGAGTTTTTTTCTTTATGACTACACAGTAGTCCATCATATGTACATTTTCTTTAGCCAGTCCAATTTTGATGGGTATCGGGATTGGTTCCATGTTTTTGCTACTGTGAATAGTATGGCAGTAAAGATGCATGTGCAGGTGTCTTTTTTATAGAGCAATTTATGTTCCTCTGTGTAAATTCCTAGGAGAGGAATTGCTTGATCATATGGAAGCTTGACTTATAGTTCGTTGAGAAATCGCCCTGTTGTTTTCCATAGGGATTAAACTACTTTACCTTCCTACCAACAGTGTAGCAGCATCTCCTTTCCTCCGCAGCTGTGCCAGCCTCTGTTGTTTTTGACTTATTAATGATAACCATTCTTACCAGGGTTAGGTGGTATCTCATTGTAGTTTTGATTTGCATTTCTCTGATGATTAGTGAGGCTGAGCATTTTTCCGTGTGTCTGCTGGCTGCTTGTATGTCTTCCTTTGAGAAGTGTCTGTTCATGTCTTTTGCCCACTTTTTAATGGGATTTTTTTTTTCCTTCCAGTTAGTTTGAATTCGTTGTAGATCCTGGATGTTAGGCCTTTGTCAGATGCATAATTTGCAAATACTTTTTCCCATTCCTTGTTTTGCCTCTCATACGCTCTCAATGGTTTCTTTTGCTGTGCCTAGAAATGACAATACAGAAATTCACATGGAAACAAAAAAGAGCATGAAATAGGCAAAGCAGTCCTCAGCGAAAGGAACAAAGCTGGAGGTATCACACCCCAGACTTTAAACTGTATTACAAGGCTCTGTAACCAAGACAGTATGGTATTGGTACAGGAATAGGCACATAGACCAGTAGAACAGAACAGAAATTCTGGAAATAAAAGCACGGTCCCTCAACCAACTCATCTTCGACAAAGTCATCAATAACAATCATTGGGGAAAGGAACCCATATTTAGCAAATGGTGCTGGGAAAACTAGCTAGCCACGTGAAGAAGAATGAAACTAGACCCGAGCTGGGCTCGGTGGCTCAGCCTGTAATCCCGCGCTTTGGGAGGCCGAGGTGAGTGGATTGCCTGAGCCCGCAGGTTCGAGACCCGCCTGGGCAACTTGGCGAGACCTCATCTCTACAATAAATCAAAAATTAGCCAGGCGTGGTAGCGCACACCTATAGTTCCAGCTACTTGGAAACCTGAGGCGGAAGGATCGCCGGAGCCTAGCAGGTTGAGGCTGTGGTGGTCAGGAGCAATCACTTCACTCCAGTGTGGGCAACAGAGTGAGACTCCAACTCAAAAAGAAAAAGAAAAAGAAAGAAAGAAACTAGACCCCTGCCTATACCCCCATATATAAAAATCAACTCAAAATGGATCAAGGACTTAAATGTAAAACCTCAAACTGTAAGAAACAATAGGAAACACCCTTCTAGACATCGGAGTAGACAATCAATTCATGACCAAGTTCCCAAAAGCAAATGCAACAAAAACTAAGATAGACAGGTGGGACATTATCAAACTAAAAAGCCTTTGAATATTTACTATACTCTTAAATAACATCATATTCTCTGCATCTTCTCTCTTTTTTAGCAGTTTGTTTTGCATAAGCTTCAAACCTTTGGCTTGTTAGTCACAAAGATATTTCATGTGTAAGTTAATCCTTTGAAAGAAGGGGATTCGATTTGATTGTACCTAAAAGGAATATAAGCTGTCAGAAAACCTCAAACTTTAAAAAGCGAAAAAGACGTAGATTGTCCTCTAATTAAAAGTTATACTAAAATGAAATACATGAATTTTGATCCTTTGTTGTAAAGTCTAGCAGGTGTCTTGTGATTTTTCTCCTATTGGCTCCTCCTCAGTCTTCTTTCCAAGACCTTAAGTGTTGACATTCTTCAGCGTTTTATTCCAGATCCTCCAATGACATCATATACTGTTCCCATGATTTTGGTCACTGTCTCCTGCTTCCCACATCACGTCTCTCACACGTTTAAACTCATAATTCTAGTTGCCTATGAGACTTAATTATTTATTTTTGAGTTGGAGTCTCACTCTGTCGCCCAGGCTGCAGTGCAGTGGCACACTCTTGGCCACCCCAGCATCAACCTGCTGGGCTCCAGCAATCCTTCCGCCTCAGCCTTCCAAGTAGCTGGAACTACAGGCACACACACTGCCACGCCCAGATAATTTTTTATTTATTGTAGAGACAAGGTCTCGCCAAGTTGCCCAGGCTTGTCTCAGGCAATCCACTTGCCTCGGCCTCCTGAAGTGCTGGGATTACAGGCTGAGCCAACAAGCCTGGCCGAGATATCTTTATTTAAATGTCCTCCACCATAAGTCAAAATCAACAGGTTCAAATCTGTATTAATCATCTTCCCTAGCCCCCCAACCAGTTTTGCCTCTCAGTGGTTGATACCACATTTCTCCTAGCTGTCCAAGCTAGAAACTTTCATGATTCCTTTTTCCTCACTTCTCACACCCAAGTAGTGGGAAGTTCTCTAAAATTCTAAATGTCTGCATTATGACTCTTTTCAGGACAAGTGGCTACAAAACAATGAAAGCTAACTTAATCAAAACAGAATGTATTGACTCTTGTTTAGGGAGGAAGTGAATACCTCTGGTAAATAACAGAGGGATTTTTGCCTCAGGTTTGACTTGATTCAGGGAGTGGATCACTGGATTGACTGTCTCTCCTCTCAGATTCTCCTGTGTATTAACTTTATTCTCTTCTACTGTAGATGGGCTGTATCCTTGCTTAAGTCACAAGCATTTGGGGAGTTGATACATAACTTTATGTAAGTTTAAAATTCAATAAGGCAACTTTAAAACCTTACTGACAAAAATTAAAGAACACCTAAATAAACAGAGGTATATTACATAATCATGGTTAGAATACAGTAAAGATGTTACTTCTCTGCATATTGATCTATACATTCAGCATAGTCAAAAAATTCTGCATGAGTTTTTGTAGATGTTGGAGAAACTGATGTATGTGGAAACATGGTGAGACTGCAAAGTAACTGGAACTCTCATACACCGCTGCTGGACATATAAGTTGTTAAAGCCATTTTGGAAAACTATTTGGCATAACCTACAAGGCTGAACTTGTGCATACCTTCTGATTCATCCTGTTCCTTTTCTAGGTAAAAACCCAACAGAAATATATACATGTGTTTGCTATAAGACAAATAGTGCTATATATGGTAGCCAAAATAATGGAAACTACCCTAATGCCCATCAGCAGGAGAGTGGATCAACCAATCATGCAAAAGAAAAAAAATACGATACAACAAGTAGAATGGCCAGGCAGTGGCTCTTGCCTGTAACTCCAGCACTTTGGGGAGGCCATGGCAGGAGGATTGTTTGAGCCCAGGAGTTCGAGATCAGCCCAGGCAACGTAGCAAGACCCTGTCTCTACAAAAAAAAAATTTTTTAAATTAGTCAGCATGGGGGATGTCACCTGTAGTCCCATCTACATTGAGAGGCTGAGGCAGAAGGATCACCTGAGCCCAAAGGTCAAGGTTGTGGTGAGCAGTGATCATGCCACTGCACTCCAGCCTTAGCAACTGAATGACTCCAAAAAATAAACAACAACAACAAAAAGTTAGAATGAACAATTACAACTCTGTACACCAACATTAATGGATCTCACAAATGCGACATAATGAAAATAAGCCAGATGTGAAGGAGTACATTATGTATAAATGAAACACTAATCTATGCTTCTAGAAATTAGAATAATTGTAATTGAGTAGGGAGAAGGGATAGTGACTAGAAAAGAGCTCTGGGATGTTTCTGGGATAATAGTTATGTTTTGTTTCTTGCTCTGGATGGTGTACAGAGGTGTGTTCAATTTGTAAAATTTTATCAAGCTATGTACTTGTATGTTTTTCTGAATATAATACATCAATAAAAGGTAACACTTATAGACAAAGTGTGATTTAGTTTAATAGACAACTTTAATGTATGTTATTATCCTATCACTGGCACTGTGGCTATACTAAGAATATTTGTAGTTATTTTTATAAACTTTTGGTATCTCATTGTGGCCTAAGATTGAACTGTCAAGTAGTTTTGATTTTGTCCAAGTGAAAACTGAGAACTTTTCAGTCAGTCTTTACAAGACATCATTATCTTGGAGGAGATATGACCAGTTTTTTCTTTGTGATTAACACATTATCTTGTAATTTTACTTAAACCTGCTAAATATGTGTGTGTGTGTGTGTGTGTGTGTGTGTGTGTGTGTGTGTGTGTGTGTACAAACCATGACAGAATTATATAACAAGCTAAGTATGCTATACTTTTTCTTTATATTTGAATTCTAGTTAAGGAAGAAGGCTTTTAGGATAGATTTCATCAGATAACCTTTATTTATATGCTTATACAAAGGCCTAATGTTAGTAATAGAAATATAAAAATTGTACCTGCATAATGAACATTTGTATACCTGACCTGAATTGTACCCCATATATTTAAAATAAAAAATTTATTAAGAAAAAAGGAAATATGAAAATTGTGAAAAATTTGAGCCATGGGAAAAGAAAAAAATTTTTATCAGCCCTTTCAAATATCATTAGTATAGTAGCATAAGATATATTATCTTAACTCACTTTGTTCATAAGATAACCATGTTTATTTTGTTGGTTTATAAAAAGGAAATGCTTCCAAACACAAAGTTCTTCATTAAGTTAAAGAGTAGGCACAGACCGAGCTTGGTGGCTCAGCCTGTAATCCCAGCGCTTTGGGAGGCTGAGGTGAATGGATTGATTGAGCCCGCGGCTTTGAGACCTGCCTAGGCAACTTCATGAGACCTCATCTCTACAATAAATCAAAAATTAGCCAGGCGTGGTAGTGCGCACCTGTAGTTCCAGCTACTTGGAAGGCTGAGGCAGAAGGATCGCCAGAGCCCAGCAGGTTGAGGCTGCAGTGGCTGGGAGTGGCCACTGCACTCCAGTCTGAGTGACAGAGTGAAACTTCAACTCAAAAAAAAAAAAAGGCATAAATGATCACCCTGCAAGTAAACACCAGCTAATGATAAACAATATTACAAGCATGTAGGTAGGTTTCACCTCACTGTTAAGTTTGTGTAGGTGATTTTACTGTAAAATATCCATTTAGTAAGAGTTCAGTTATGATTTACTGAAATTATAGAAATATATTGTTTTAGAGTAATATCTTCAGTTGAGATCATTTTAATGAAAAAATCATACTTATAATTCCTTTATGACTCTGGTACCTGTTTTCTTGCTTTTCGCTACAAATCCTTTAAACCTAACTCCTCTTTTCTAGGTTTTTTGGGTTTTTTTTTTGTGTTGGAGTCTCACTCTGTCACCCACACTGGAGTGCAGTGGCTGCTCCTGGCCACTGCAACCTCAACCCACTGGTCTCCGGCGATCCTTCCACCTCAGCCTTCTGAGTAGCCAGAATCACAGGCACGCGTTACATGCCCGGCTGTTTTTTTTATTTATTGTAGAGATGAGGTCTCGCCAAGTTGCCCAGGCAGGTCTCAAACCCGCGGGCTCAGGCAGTCCACTCACCTCAGCCTCCCAAGGTGCGGGATTACAGGCTGAGCCACCAAGCCCGGCTTCTTTTCTAGGTTTTTTGAGGAAAGAGCACACAAACTCTATGGGTTTTTAGTTTTTGTTTCTTTAGGGATGAGTAGTTACCCATTCTAAAACTACTTTTTTTTTTTTTTTTTTTTTTAAGTTGGAGTCTCACTCTGTTGCCCAGACTGGAGTGCAGTGGCCGCTCCCGGCCACCGCAGCCTCGACCTGCTGGGCTCTGGCGATCCTTCCTCCTCGGCCTTCCAAGTAGTCGGAATTACAGGCGCGCACTACCACGTCTGGCTAATTTTTTTATTTTATGGTGAAGATGAGGTCTTGCCTGCCCAGGCGGGTCTCGAACCCGCGGGCTCGGGCAATCCACTCACCTCAGCCTCCCAAAGGTGCGGGATTACAGGC